TCGTTTATCTATAGAACATAAAATACTTTTAAAGGACTTTTAAACACAAGTGGCGATTAGAGCTGGGTAGACAATTTTCTACTGACCAATCCAAGCTGAAGCGAAAACCTTAGCGAATATCTATCTGGTAAACGTAGTTTTATGGCCCTGGCTTTCACCTGGCAAAAACGCAGGCCGCTTTCTTAGCCCCTTTCAGCTAATCCCCAATGCAACGCCAATCCCCAGGACAATCCGTCCACTCGACTCCAGTAAAATGAGACTAGAACATTAAACATGCTTTTGCGGTTGCCAGCAAGCCGCCTTCTCCTTTCCAGCCCCCCCGTTTCGTCCCCTTTTTACCGATTCTAAAAAACAAGTTTTGGCAGCAGCTGGGAGCTGCGAGAATGCGAGGAAAGCGAAATGAGAAGAGAGGAGAGGAGACAGAAGAGACTGCCAGACGAAGAAGAAGCAGGAGGCCAAAGCGGACAAGCTGAAGAATTGATGGGATGTTGAATAATCCTCAAATTAAGTATCCTGCGTCTGATTCTTCTTCTTCATCTGATGATCCCAATGGATTTTGACAGGCGCCATTTTAGTGTGACCAGAGGGAGCGGCGCGACCTTCGGCTGCGGCTGCGGGATTTCAAATTGCAGATTGCACCGGCGAAGAAAAGCGGAAAACTTACACGGACACACACGCACACCACCAAGACACAACTGTCACGGCGACGGCAACAAAACAGACGAATAAAGGAAGTGAAAGAGAATGGCAAATAACAAAATGAAGACCCCGCAGCCGTATCGATGTGTGTATATACACAACCAAGTAGAACTCACACACACGCACGGCACAGTGTGCAAAAACGCCGCGATTGTAAACACAGACGGAACGGAAGAAGTGGAGGAAGCAGAGGAAGCGAACGGAAACTGGCCGCACAATTTTCACAAAGCGGAAAAATTGTCAAAGAATTGGCAGAGTTGCCAACTTTTGTCAAGCACACACACAGTCGCTCGCTTGCTCGCTCGCTCGTCGAAAAGGAAAATCCGTGGAAACTGTGTTCGGCAGAGTTGCAACAATTCTGAAGGGGGGAAAAACGAGACGGAGAACCAGAACAGTGGGGCACACACACAAAAAATGGGTGGCAGTGACGTACAAGCACACCCAAAGCGAGCGCACAGACACGACCAGCGCACACGCACACACACAACAACAAGCAGGCAGGCAGGCAGCAGCGAGCAGCAGAAAATTTCTTTTTCACTAGGTTTTCGCAAATAATACGAACGCGAGCAATAATAAACGAATGTCTTTTGGCACCGCCGAGTACAGCTTTTCTTTTCACTGGGCACTCCGCACACACACAAGCCCGAGTGGGCGAGGAAAACCCTTTCCTTGCCTTTCCTTTCCTGTTCGTTCCGCAGGTACTCACCGAATAGCAACAAACAAAAAAAAATAATAATAAAATAAAATGCAGAACCCGAACAAGAGTTGTGAACGCAAACACGGTGCGAAGCGAAATAACGAGCCAAAATGGAGAGCAAGAGAGCGTCGCTTGTTCCGACGGCGAATAAGGCCAATTTGCCGTGACTCGCCGCACTCTTCGCCGCTCGATATACTCACTATCGCAGGCGGTTTGGTGCAACCCTGCTTATGGGCGGCGGCAGGCAATCCTGCTTTCAGGACTGTCTTCTTAAATCTGACAAATATTATTTATATTACGATTTCTCTTTGGGCTAGGTGCATTTATGCAGAAAGCGTGCTTTCTGCTGTAAATTCCGTATCCTTATTAAATATACTTACTTGTCTCTTTTTATAGTATTCCAAATTATCATACATAAATAATAAAAGTGGCAATATGAATTAACCAAATTCAAGTTTACCAATTATATTTAATATTATACACAATTGTTTCTATTAAAATTTTCCTTTACAATTTCTTAATATTTAATATAGACGATTATCTAGGTTTTATATAGATCCAAAGATGCATATAAATCAAGTCTTAACAAATATGTCTAGAAATAAGTTTTTTACTTTTTTTTTTAAATAAATTAAAATGCAATTTTATATAAATAATATATGAGTCTTTAGTAGCAATGGTTTCTAGTTTCTTAAAATGTAATACTGACATAATTCATTGAGAGTTTTTGTTCAAAAACTATAATCGTTACTGTTCGGTACGGAACAAACACATAATTTATGTAATTTACAAATAAATCCAATTTGTGTAATTGAAACAATACTTTCAAATATTTTATTTTATAATAAGTACGTTTTTAACATAAAGAAATTTGTACCCCTCAACAACTAAATCAAATATGAAATGATTTAAAATAACTCTGCTGAACCAGATATGTATGTACAAAAATATTTTGCAATAGTAGGGCATTGCACACGTCAACGTGTGTTTTATGCCCGGTGTACGTGTTGTTTTTGGCAAATGTTTGTTCGCTCTTTTTTCGCCGCGTGCTCTCTCTCCGTCGCGAATTCGCCGCTATGTCGTTTGTTGTTGTTGCTGCTGCTGATGCGTCTTTTGTTGCGTCGGCAAAAAGCGAAAAAGGACTCGGGGATAACAAAACGGGGGTGGTAATTGGGAAAAAGGTAGAAGCAGAAGCAGCAACAACAACAATGATTCCCTTTCTAGGCCAAGCATGTTTTGGTTGTCCTGCGAATTTTTTCAGATTTTCCTCAACTTGCGATGCTGTAGCGTAGGTTGTTGCTTGCTGAATTTCCTTTTTCCTAAGGCTAAGCTGAAAGGGCTGAATCCTGCAAGTGTCAGGCGGCGTCCTTACGTCGTTCTTCACCCAACAGTTTTCCCATCCACCCAAGGACCACTGCGATTACGTGTAACTGGGTTAAAGGCAAAAGCCTTAATTGCTATGAAAATGAGGGAAAATCAATAGCTTTTTGCATTGCCTTTGCATTATTATGCAGCGTTCTTCTGTTCAATTTTTATTCAACCGCTTCTGCAAGGGGGTCGCAAAGCGCTTTTCCCAAACTGGGTCAAGTGAGTGGCCAGGACACACGCTTTTCCCTCGCCACTGACATCATCAATTAGTTACGAAAGACGAAGGCCACTTCGATCGATTATCCTGGTTGATTGCCCTTTCCTTATGATCCTAGCTTCGACTGAGCAAATTTTCTCATTCCCAAACCAGTTTTGGGGCAGGAAAATACTTTTGCATTCCGCCCACTCGACTAATTTCACCTAGAAACAGTTTGTTTTTCTGTTTCTGTACTGTGCGGTGCGCTCACATTTACATCAACAAGCACACACACTTTGAGTGTTTTGTGTGTCTGCGCCAAAGGCAATTGGAAAACGTAATGGCCGACAAAATGCCACGCAGCAAAGAAGAAGCAGCGATAGGCTTAGTGCGCAAAGCGCAATCGGCGATACGTGGATAAAAAGAAAACTTCCGGCAGACCCCAAAGCTCCAAGAAAAAAAACGACTACAGCAAAAAGAAGCACCCAAACCCATACATATGCATATAAAATATGAAAACCCACGTGAATGGGAATAAGAGAGCGGCAGAGAGCAAAATAGAGATCGCGGCGAATTCGCAGAGTTTTCAGAAGCCCAGTATTTGTGTTTGTGGTCGTCTTGCCAAGATTTTTCCCATTTTCCCAGGTGTACGGCTGTGTGTTAGTGCCCCCCAATTTGCAGACGGCGAGAAAACAGTTAAATTCCACACGCAAACAAGGCTTTTATGGCCACACACACAGCCACATTTTTTGCGCTCTCCGCCTTTGCCTCGCTCTTTATCGCCTGCTCTTTTCGTCATTGCAGCGTCATTCGTTTTCGTTTCGAACGGTCGCCATATTGGTTTGTAGCGCCATTTTCTGGCGCTTTTTTCACCCACAGGGGTATAGTAAGGTTGGAATTTTTTTTTGGCATTCCATCGTACTGGCTGGGTACTAACTGTTTTATGTTTGAAATTTGTGATTTCATGGGTTTTTGGGGGAGAAAATCGAGGTGAAAAATTGGCCCATTAACATAATCATGCCGACTCTCTCACCCCCGCCCGCTCTCCTTCCACCCACCCTCTCTCGGCAGCAAGTGGAACTACAGCTTGATAGTATCGATATATCGAGTATTTTTGTTTGAATATCGATTTTGATGTGGCAGTATATACCTACAAATTAAAACGTTTATTGAAATTTGCAAAATTATTTCCTTCACGACCTTTTTTTCATATTTATAGATGGCAACATCTAATATTATTGTATACATTATAAGCTACATGTTTTATGTTTAAGACTTTTTCTCATGGATGCCATACAAAAAAAAACTTTATATAAAAATCTCGTATCAATGAAAAGATATATTTGCAAAATTACTGTGAAGCTTTATAGAATATCTTCTTTGAAACGTTTTTTCTACTGATCACAGAAAAACAGCCAGGTAACGCAAATATTTTTTTAAATAACTCAATTTAATGTAATCATAAGTTTATACATTTTTTTTCTAAATCATTTATTCGATTTCGAAAAGGCGTCAGTTTGTGGTTTAAAAAGAACGGCCATGAATGCATATCTCACAGAAAACCACGGTAGAATAACCATTTAACTGATGACTATTATTACTTATTGTAAGCGACCTCAGATTAAGACTTAAGCTTAATAAAATAAATGGTTAATATTTAGTTAACGCCACAGAATGTTTGTTGTAAAATCCTATTAAATCCTTATCACTTTATCAATATGCTATAATCAAATTTTTGAGGCGTTCCCCAAAGCTTTTAATAACATAGAACAAAAAAATACAATTTTAATTTACATTTTTTAATTTCTTATTAATGGGGGATTTTATTCCTCATTGCAATCAGCTTCACTTAGTGTTTAATAAAAATAAATATATATTATTATTTATAGTAAGGAATAGAACAGTTTAAATTTTTAAAATACGTTACAAAATAAACTAACAAACTGACAAGGTGATAATGCAAAGTTGCCAGCCCAAAAAAAACCAAATATCGATAACAGAAAATCCAATATCGATTGCTTCATGGTAAATTGAATACTGAATGGTATTTTATTTTATTATGGCTTATGCCTGCATTTTGTTTTCAAGGAATTCTTCAGCAAGATGTTTGTTAAATTCGTGATAATCACTGCTGCCCTAATCCTGGTCAACTGTCACGCGGTGGCTTCGGAAGGCAACGCGGTGCTGCCGGAGAACTTCGTGGCCGCCGCCCAGCGGTCCACGCACACCAACAACTGGGCGGTGCTGGTGGATGCCTCGAGATTCTGGTTCAACTACCGGCATGTGGCCAATGTGCTGTCCATCTACCGCTCTGTAAAGCGACTGGGCATCCCCGACTCCCAGATCATCCTAATGATTGCCGACGACATGGCCTGCAATGCAAGGAACCCGCGTCCTGGCCAGGTTTACAACAATGCCAACCAGCACATCAATGTGTACGGCGACGATGTGGAGGTGGATTACCGCGGCTACGAGGTCACCGTGGAAAACTTTGTGCGCCTGCTAACGGGGCGCACCCAGAACGGTACCGCGCGCTCCAAAAAGCTCTTATCGGACGCCGGTAGCAATGTGCTTATCTACCTCACTGGCCATGGCGGCGATGGCTTCCTCAAGTTCCAGGACTCGGAGGAGATAACCAGCCAGGAGCTGGCCGACGGGATACAGCAGATGTGGGAGAAGAAGCGGTGCGATACCTTAATCCCTTACACTCTTAGCCTTTCAAAACGGTTGTTAGTCTCGTCACTTAGTTGTACGATCATCTATTTAGACGGTTACAATTCTTAAGATGGTTCTCCAGTGCTCCTTGTAGTTTGAACAAATTTATCAAATAACTAATCTAGTTTCTGTGGGATATTAATCCCGTACAATCTTAGCCTTCCAGATATATAGCTTGGTTATGTTAAAATTTGTTCTAATCTAATGAAACATATTTTTGATCCACAACTTTATCTAAGAACTAATGTAGTACCAACCTGTCTAATCTAATAATGCATCCAAATGGTAATGTATTCTATTTTAAACATAAGCAGTGAAACAATAATGTTTGTAAGGAAAATAGGAACCTAATATATGTACAATAAGCCATATAGCTAATAACCCACCTTTCTTTATTTCAGTTACAATGAGCTGTTCTTCATGGTGGACACTTGCCAAGCGGCTTCGTTGTACGAGAAATTCACCTCGCCGAATGTCCTGGCGGTGGCAAGTAGTCTAGTAGGCGAGGATTCCTTGTCGGTAAGTTAGATATAGATACAGTCAGATACCTACGATCCTCATGCATGATTTTAAATCCGCAGCACCATGTGGATCCTTCGATTGGCGTGTACATGATCGATCGCTATACCTACTACGCTTTGGAGTTCCTGGAGAAGGTGCAGCCGTTCAGCAAGAGGACCATTGGGGAATTTGTAAGTCCACTCGTGAGATTTTTCAAAAGATTTTCAATTCTGAGCCGCAATCTTTTCAAAACAGTTGCAAGTGTGCCCCAAGCGGGTGTGCATTTCGACAGTGGGCGTGCGCAAGGATCTGTACCGCCGAGATCCGCACAAAGTGCCCATCACCGATTTCTTCGGAGCTATACGACCGACACGGGTCTTCACCGACCGCATCAACGTGACCCTGGCCAACGAAGAGTAAGTATTTGGTTGAACATTAGCGGAAATCGTTCCAAAAACACATGCTTTTACAGCGATTTCGTTGTGGACAAAGATGAGCTGGTGGCCAAGAAACCCTTCAAAATTGTGATGGAGTCACAGTTTCCGTCCGAGCTTTTTAAATAGACTGCACTGGCCAACGTTTATATGATTCATGTGATAATATTAATTTTATTCGTAAATACATCATTTCATTATTAATACATGTGTAATTTATTAAATTTATATGTGATCTCGAATCGTGCTTTAAAAATTCTCAATTACGGGCTTAGTTCGTCTTAGTTATCTGTTTTATATTTGCTAACATTTCATTTCATTTTCATTTCATTATCATTTATCATTTTGCGGTTCTGTTGCCGTTTGTGTTTCCTTTTCTCTTATGCATTACATCAATGTATCAGTTAAATTATACTTTTTGGTTACCACTACATCAAACGTTCACTAATCAATCAATCAATATCAATCCATCGTGTAACATTCATATCAAATCCAAAAAGAAACAAAAACCATATTGTATACTTATATAAAAGGTAAAAGTCGCTCGCGACCGCTATGTAGAATTAGAAATGCACAAAAAAAAAACAGTATTTCTATAATTTTCCACGGCGATTCGTTATGGTTTTTCTTTTCCTTTTTTCTTTGGATTTGGTTTCACAATTTTCTAATTTGGGTATACACAAATTCAAAGAGTATAACAATGGCTTTAGAAGAGAGATCTCTTCTTAGCGTTTACTCCTCTTCGTTTCACAAATTTTTTTGTTTTATCATATGGAAGGATCTACTTCGTTTTAATTATTGAATTGTTTAATCAATACACATATACACCTAGTATACATATACGGGTTTAATTAGATTTCCTCTTTTGCTTTTTGCTTATTTTTTTTTTCTTTCTTTGTTTACTTTTGGTTTCATTGCATTCAGTCCCATAATGTTGTAGGCTTGGGTTGTCCTCAAGATCAAGATCCAGATTAAGCACCATAAGAAGTTCATATTGCATCCACGCTATACACTATGGGTATGGGACATGGTGGACATTGTGGACATGGTGGACATGGGTTTCTGCCCGGGATGCAAATGGATCTAGGCAAGCGGAGTGAGGCGAATACGGATGCGGTTGTGGGTGTGGGTGAGTGGGTCATGAGGATCAAATGGGTCAAGTGATGAATTGAGCATTTAAGTTTTCGTTTTGTTTTGGGGTACAACAGTTTGATGTACGATAAGTGGCAGCTGGTTAGGTGACTGCAGTGTTGGTTAATCCGGGAGTGTGTAAGTCGTTAAAATTAGCTAACTAATGTTATATCTCGAGACGCCAGATGGTTAGGCCAGGGGTTCGGAAGAGCCCCTCAATCCAACTCCTCGTTCTCATGTATTTACAAAGACACTTCTTTTTTTCCAGCGGGAGCAGTCCTCCATCTGACCCTAGCCTTATTAATCAAATGGGCGGTTTACTGGATTTGGAAGGGATTGAAAGGATGGGCGGAAAGGGAAAGAAGGGACAGGTTCTTTGATTGATTTAAATCTCGATTACAGTTATTTTTAAAGTCTAACACTTATTTGATAACACGCTGTGCAAAAATATTTTATTTTGACTCTTTCCCTTCAGATGCTGTTTATCCTGCATTTATTCTACAAAAAATGTTAATCCTTTTAGCCGTCTGTCTGTTGCCCTTTTTTCCCATATCCATATTCATATATTGATTATTATGTCATCGCTTATAAATCCACATATATACGTACTTTAAATATTCTTGCTATTTGCTATTTCGTATTGGTTTTTGCATCGTTTTCTCGTAAAAAAACTCTCTACGGAAAAAAAATCGAAAATAACGCTTTGAAGGCAATTTGATGTCAGACTCTTGCTTATTTCTCATCTTCTCATCTTCTGTTCTTCGTTTTTTTTTTTTTTATTCGAATAACATTGTTTTCGTGTTTTTTAGCTTAATTTCTCTATTTCCGTTTCTTCCCTTAGCCCTAGGTTTCGATATTTATTTGAAAGAGCTTGTTGGGGGAGGCTTGGAGTTGGGATTCAAGGACCTAGTGAACGGGTTTCGCTATTCACACGAGATTCCTTCAATTTCCATTCAGGTCAAGCCAATTGCCATTTCCGCTGCATACTTTTTTGGGCCAAGTAGATAAACAAACCAGAACCTCGCAGAATTCGTGTTGAAATTCAATTTTGGGACTAGTTTATATTCGTTTATAATTGAAACTTTAAAAAAAACTTTAGAAACCATAAAAGGGTTTTTTAGTTTCTAAAAAAGTAAGTTTGCTAAGTAACCCCAAAAAATGGAAGGACTCCACACTGTTCTATATACAAACCAATTAAAACCGAAAAGTTTTGAGGCACAATAGGCCGGGTAGAGGTATAACAGTAAATAAAAAACATAAAACATATTTAAGAATTACATTTATTCAAAAATGTTGTCAAAAAATGTATACAGACAGCAAAAAAATCAACAAAATTAATACATTTACAAAATAAAACGTAGTACGACGATATTGATAAAAATCCGGGTATCAATACCGATAGGCGTTTGGGGTTGCGACGATAACACGATTACGATATATAATTGCGTAATCGGGCTTACACAAAAAAAAAAAAAATAATCCTTTCGTTTCTTTCTTTTTTTGTTTTTCTTATTCATTTCTCTTCTTAAACTTTCTCTTGTTTGTATGTACTTTGCGTAATTTATGTGTGTAGTATGTGATTATGCGTTCTTAACTTAGATATAGTGTGTGTGTGTGTGGGGGTTGGGGTTTTGGGGTTTTAGGTTTTGGGCTCGATAACTAACAGTATCTAACAGTATAATTCTGCAAGAGTTGCGAGCGAAGTTCTTTTAATGGTTGATGTGTGATTTCGATCTGGCCGTCCAGCTTCCGTTTCCGTTTTGCGCTAACTTCCGTTTCCATTTCCGCTCACCCTACCATTCCCCCTTCTCAGTGACAAATTGCTCTACTTCTCTCTGCCCCCAAAACGGATGTACACTAAACTAGCTAGTTGGACTCTACTATTTATACTTTATGTGGTTGAATCTCCCGCCCTACTTCGCTCTCCTTCTGCTCCTCCTCCTCCTCCTTCTTTTCTCTCGTTACACAATTATTATATATATAAATATATATACGTGCATGAGCCTATACTTTACATATACTTTTAGTTAAAAAAAAAAATAGATAACTGACATATGCACGCATCCTAAATGCTTGCTATAGCTGTGTGTGGCATTGTGGCTACGTAAACATTACATACTCATTATATACTCGTTACATACTCGCTACTTACTCATAAACCTACTCATTTAACACTCCGCGAACTTTATCGTCCATCTCCTCTCAGCAAAAACACAAAAAAAATTACATGATTAAAATGTTTCAACTTTGCATATGCATATATGCATAATGCCATATCTTTCCTTAGTATGGTTGTGTGTGTGTGTATGGATTGAGGATCAAATATGGGTGTGATTGTGTGTGTTTTTATGGGGTATAGTACAGGGATCCAACAACTAGACAAACTAAAATACACGATAGATCAGTTAGGCTCTACATTATGCATGTAGTAATAGTAATAGTAATAATCGATATAAGCCATAACTAATGAATAGTTAATAGGTAATGATATCCAGACATACTCATAATCATAATCATAAATCGTAATCATAAATCGTAATCGTAAATTGTAAGTGGTAATCATAGTGGATAATCATAATAAAACATGCTCTACGTGTACGATTCTAAAATAATTCAGTCATCAGGTAACATTGTTTTGAACACAACTACAGTAACAGAAGCTGAGGTGGCTGTGGGCGTGCGCGGGGGTGCTCGTTGGCGCGGGGGCGTGGCAGTGGGCGTGGCTGTGGCAGAGGCGGAGGCAGAGGCAGAGGCTCTGGCAGTGGCGGCAATAATATTATTGTTATTCATATAGTTATTGTTGAAGTTGTTGATGTTGATATTGCTGTTGTGTGGTGTTGTTGGTGCTGTTGTGGTTGTTGTTGTTGTTCTTGTTTTGTTGATTTTCGTTTTTAATTGTTGTTGTGGCAGTTGTCGTTGCTGTTGTTGTTGTTGTGGTGCTAATGTTGCTTGTGATTGTGTCGTCGTCATCATCACTCCTGTTGTTGTTACTGGCGTCGTCGACCCGGCAGTCCATTGTTGTTGCTGCTGCTGCATTGCTGCTGCTGCTGCACGCGTTGCTAATGAAATCGTTGATGATAACGATGATGATGGTGTGGCTGATAATGATATTGATGTTGCTGCTGTTGTTGATGTTGCTGTTGTTGTTGTGGGAGCTGCTTGTTGTTTTTGGGGCATGGCTAGCAGCGGCAGCAACTCATCGTCGGTCTGCGTTTGAATGTTTACCGTGTTGTAGCTGCCGGCCCCTGTTGCTGCTGTTGCCTGCAATCGGCCGCAACAGTTGCCGTTGAGCAGACGCACTGCTGACCTGGCTAGCAACGTTTAGGGGAGGAGAGGTGGAAGGGGGAAATGGAGGGACACAAACGTTATCGCAAACACAAGGCTCACAATTCTTTCTGCTTACCATTCGCCACTTGACCCTCACTCAGGCCCAGTTGGCGATTGCGTCCAGGTGTTGCTGTTGCCGTTGCTGTTGCTGTTGCCATTGCTGTGGCCATGCCCACTACTGCTCCAGCTCCCAATCCTTTGGTGGCAGTATTGGCAGTATGGTTGCTGCCAAAGTTTATTATCCTTCTGGGCAGTTTCTGTTGCTGTTGCTGCTGCAGCGCCAGCAACTGCTGCTGCTGCTGTTGGCGTGCAGTGGCTATCTCGCTTAGACTGGCTAAGGTCACAGCAGTTTTCAGCACATGCGCAGGCGTGGGCGACGTTGTTGCTGCTGTCGTCTCCGTCGTTGTTGCAATCGCTGCTGCTGTTCTTGTGGCTGTTGCTGCTGCTGTTGCTGCTGCTGTTGCTGCTGCTGGAATGGTACGCTGCTGTGACATTAAGGCCGTGTGTAGTATTGATGTATATTGTTGCTGCTGCTGTTGTGGTTGCTGTTGATGCTCAAGTCTTTTGCTCTCTTCTAAACTGTTGCTGCTGCTGCCTGTTGTCCTGCCGCTGGCCAAAGTCCCTGTTGCTGCTGCAGTGTCAGTGTTGCAGTTGCTGCTGCTGCTGTTGTTGCTGTGGGAATAATCCCTGGGAGTGTCGCCGCTAGCCGAGGAGCGTGCTATCTGCTCGGCAGCCGCCGTTAAGGTGGCCAATGTGGCGGCCGCTCCGCTTAACAGCGAAGTCTTCAAAATGGACGTGGATCGTGACTGCTCCTCCTGATCCCGCTCCCGCTCCCGCTGCGGCTCCTCCTCCTGATCATCCTCCTCCTGCTCATCCTGCTCCTGCAGTTCTCGCTGGGCCCCGATCTCGATCTTGATCTTGGGCAGATCCCGCAGCAACTGATGCTGCTGCTGTCTGCTGCGGCGCCTCTCCTGTTGTTGCTGCTGCTGTCGCTCCGGGAGGATCGGTATTGGAATCGGATTCGGATTCAAATTCGGATTCGGTGTCGGATCAGGACCTGGTGGTGGCGCCGCCGGCTGGTGGTTGGCGGTGGGCAGCAGGCCGTGCTCAAGCATCTGCTACCTTATGCTCGCCGAGTTGAGCACAAAGGGCACATAGAACATCTTGCTCTCGAGCAGCAGACTGGCCGCAGCCTGGATCTAAAAATAAAAGCGGCAAGGATAGTGGTTAACCGTGGTGCAAGGATTAGTCAGGGACGAGGATTGTTGAAACATTTGAATTCCTAATATTTTCTCTTTTTGGTTATAAGTTGTTACAACGTGACGTATAGCTGAACTTGTCTCCTAAATATTAACCAAATACTTTTAAAGCTCTTAGTTTTTTAAAGATGCTATTAATATAATAAAAAAAGGGCATTTAAAATATAAAATTCTCACACTTTTACGAGTAACGTTTTAAGCTTATGAAAACAGCTAGCAAAAATAGGTTGGAAGTAAATTTTGAAAAACGTTTTTAATTTTTATTTTGTTTTTGATAAGTAAGCATTGTAATAAATAAAACAAGTTCTCCTATGCACTTTAAATTGTGCAATCACTATTATTTTGACCGCAACTATATGTACCTATTACGGTTGACTACTGACTACCGACTACTGACTTACCTCGGGTATGTGGGAGAGCAGCTCGCTGAGCCTCGCCTGCGGATTTTGCGGCGAGGAGTTCTGCAGGTAGGAGCGCAGCACCTGGACGTACCGCTCCTGGATGCTCTCCAGTTCCACTTCTGCTGGATTTACGAATGGAAAATAGAAGGCGAGAAGAGGGTAACATGAGCATCAGTATGAATGGACTGGGGCAAGTCGAACCACACGACGTACCTTTGTTCAGCAGTATGTAGACCTTCAGGCACACGTACTCCTCCATCTTGAGCTTGATGCGCCGGAACATGATGGTGATCTGGGTCATCTTGTCCACCATGTGGCCAACGTCTAGCTTCAGCTGCTCCATGGCAATGGGCTGACCCATCAGCGTGGTCAGGCAGGTTTGCAGGGTGCTCAGATGCGAGTTCACCTCGCTGACAAATTCCGGATCGTCCTTGTGAAGCGGCTGGGCAGGCGAGGAGGCTATGGGCGTAGTCGTGCTCAACGGTGTGGCGGCGGTGGGCGTGGCCAGCGGCGTTGATGCCGGCGAGCCATGCCTGCTGCCCGGCGTACCCCCTTCGCCGCCGCCCCGGCTTCGCTTGCCATGCAACGCCTGGTAGGCGGCCGTGGTCAGGATGAGTATCTCATGCCACTTGTCGGTCAGCAGCTTGGTGTGAATCTCCACGGGGATTTCCAGATAGAAGGGCAGCTTCTTTGTCCACGACACCAGCTTGTGCACTATCGAGTCCCCAATGTTGCATAGCTTTTCACTAATCTCCGACTTGTCCTCGAGGAACTCGCTGAAATGCGGCAACGTGGCAATGTCCTCCATGGCATCGCAATCGATCAGGGTTTGGATCATGGCCAAAGCATGCTCGTACGAGATCTGGCGATCCTTGGACGAACTTACCGCCGAGTCGAGGCGGTGACGCAGATGCACAATTTCGCTGGGATTGGTCAGGGCCGTCTTTAGTATTGTTCCATTGACCAGATGTGGTGGAAGTTGGGCACCTCCGCCTCCTCCTCCTCCTCCTCCTCCTCCTGATCCCCCACCTGGCTGCTGGTGATGGTTTTGGGTTCGATCCTGCTGCTGTTGCTGATGCGGCGAGCCCAGCGAGAGATGCGGAGAGGCCTGTTGCTGCTGCTGCTGTTGCTGTTGTTGCTGCTGTTGGGCCGGACTATGCATGGGCGGAACCTGCAGTAACTCCGGCTTGAGAACCGGGCCCAGGAACATGGGCTTCATGTCCATCAGCTTGGCCTGTTGCTGTTGCTGCTGCTGTTGTTGGTGCTGCGCAGCGGCCGCCACTGCGGCGGCCAGTTGCTGCTGCTGCGGCGACAACAGGTGGTGCGGTGAAAGCTGCGGGTGGTGCTGCTGCTGCGAGTGGTGCGACTGGTGACCCTGGTGTGGGTGCGGGTGGTGCAGCGGCGAGTGCAATTGCTGGTGTTGCTGGTGCTGCTGATGCTGCTGCTGCTGCTGGTGTTGTTGCTGCTGCTGTTGGGCGGCCTGTTGCTGCTGGGCGGCCTGCTGCTGCTTCTGGTTGGTCTTCTTGTGCTTCTTGTACTTCACCTTGTACAAGTTGTAGACGGCGCCGCTGTTGCGACCGCCCGGCATTCGATCCTCGCGAACGGCTGAAAAACGGGGTGAAAGGTGAAAAGGTAAGGAATGTGTTGGTCAAAAATCCAGGGAGTACCCACCTTGCAGCACCATGCCCTGCTCGATGCACTTCTTAAATCGACAATACTGACAACGGTTGCGCTGTGCTTTGGTTATCTCGCAGGTGCCGTCCGCCACGCAGGTGTAGACCCGTCGGTTCTGCACCGTCCGCTTGAAGAAGCCCTTGCACCTAACGGAGCATTCGGAGAGAGTTCTAGGATTAGGCTGTGTACTTTGGTGGGAAATAACAAAACATCTTGTGAAAAATTCGCGAATTAATTGATGTTCCCAAACCATTGTTTAACCTTTATGATCATATGACAAAATAAATATACACAATAACTATTCCTTTTTTTAAACTGACAACAAAAATTGAATAGTAAAAATAAATATTTTCTGTAACGTTTTTTTATAACTTCGTGATTATTACAATACATTTTTAAATCTAAAACATTTTATTTTTAAATTTAAGACATTGCGCAATCTTTTTGTATAAATTATGCAAGTTTGTCCGTAGAAAAAAATTTGTTGATTAAAGGCAACAGTTCGTATAAGTAATATATTTTCAATCTAATGCGCAAACCCAAAAAGGCATTTTTTCCAACATTTGCTTCTACCATTGATTGAGATTTAAACCTTAAAATGTTAAAGTTTAATTTTCAAATAAATTCATTCGTGAATAATAAAATGCAAATTATTACATTTTTTAGTGTATTTTGTAATTAATATGCACACAATAAAGGCAAAATGTTTGGAGTCCTAATGATTTCTTCCAAGGCTTCACTAATATCTACGCGTTCAGATATTTTGTAAAGTTCAGTTTATTTTTTTAGATTGATAATTCTTTTGATTTTTTAAACTTATTATGGCGTCTTCATTTCATTTCTTCATAGAAATACACTTTTCATTAACTTATATATGAATTTGAATGTGAACTTTAAAGATTCCAGAATTACATTTAGGCTTATTCATATTTTGTTATATTTAGAAAATTGGCGTATAGTGAAATGTTTTAGGTTTCTTTTGAAAATTGTCAAGGACTTACCCCTCGCACGTGATGATGCCGTAGTGCAGGCCGGTGGCCTTGTCCTCGCAGATCATGCACACGAGCGGCTGCTCGTCCTCGTCGGTGGGCTCGTGTGGCGCCTCCAGGCCGCGTCCGCCCAGGCCGCCACCCACGCCGCCCACTCCGCCCAGACCCGTGGAGTTGCTGCTGCCCCACTGCTGCTGTTGGGCGCTCAGATTGAGGGCCTGCAGCTGGCCAGGCGGCAGCTGCGAGTAGTCGCCCGCCCACAGACGCTCCATGTTGAGGGCGTGCGGAGTGCGGAAGGGGTGGGGCCGCGACCTCATATCCTGGATGCGCGTCTGTCCCAGGGAGAGCAGCAGCTGGGCGGCCTCCTCGTTGTTCTGCGGTGTGACCGAGGATATGCCGCCGCCCGAAACTGATCCTCCGCCGGAGGAAGAGGGCGTCAGTGATCCCGCCGAGGGTGAGGATAGGCAATGTTGCTGCTGGCTCAGCGCCTGTTGCTGCTGCTGTTGTTGCTGCTGTTGCTGCTGTTGCTGTTGCTGTTGCTGCTGCTGTTGCTGCGACTGCTGTTGCTGCTGCGACTGGTGGTGCGGCGACTGCTGTTGCTGCTGCTGCTGCGGATGCTGGCCCACCGAGGGTGGCGGGGGCTCATAACTCCACACCATGGTGCGCACCCCGCAGCTCTCGCCCATGATGACGGTGGGCGTGCCGCGGGGCGGCGTCTGCGAGGGCGTCTGCGGCGACAGTTGCGAGGATGACGAGGAGGAGGAGGGATGCGGCGAGGGGCACTGCACGGGGCCGCCACCTCCATTGCCGCCGGGTCGCAGGTTGCCCAGCGGACCGCCAATCACCTCTGGCTTCACCCCATTGATCCGCGCATTGCTGAAGCAGACCATTCGCTGGGCGGCCACTGCCGCCGCTGCTGCTGCCGCTGCCCCGCCCGCGGATTGCATGAGATGGGGCAGTCCGGCGGCCACCTGCTGATGCACCTCGCTCTTCACCCGGAACAGGATGGCGGCATCCCGGTTGCTGTTCCTCAGCGCCAGCGAGGCGGGATGCATTAGGGCCAGAGCTTGCGGTTGCTGCTGTTGTTGCTGGTGGTGTTGCTGCTGTTGCTGCTGGTGTAGATGCTGCTGCTGCTGTTGTTGCTGCTGCTGTTGTTGCTGTTGCTGCTGCTGCTGCTGCTGCTGGTGGTGCTGCAGGTGGGGCGACTGTTGCGGGTGATGCGGCGACAAGTGACGCTGACCAACATTCGGCTCCTTCTTCACCCTCACCAAAGAGTGAGGCGAATGTTGCTGCTGCGGATGCGAGACCTGTTGCTGCTGTTGCTGCTGGCCCAGCAAGTGATGCAGATGAAGCTGCTGCTGCTGGGTGAGGTGCTGCATGGACTGGCTGAGCAGGTGCTCTGTGGGCGGGCTACTCTTGCGCAAAGTTAGTGGCTGGGTGAGTTGCTGGTGAAGATGGTGCGTCTGGACGATGGTGGGTCCACCACCCAGGCTGTGGGTGGGCATGGGTGGACTGGCGGAGACCCGGCTCAGATGCTGCTGCGAAGAGCTGATGGACTGTTCCCGCTCGCGCTCTCGCTCTCGCTCTCTATCTCTATCCCGCTCTCTGTCTCGATCCCGCTCCCTTTCTCGTTCTCGTTCTCGTTCTCGTTCCCGCTCCCGCTCCCTTTCCCTTTGTGTACTGGATGTGGAGGAGGGTGAGGCTGGCGGCGGTGGCTCTGATTTGATCCGCGATGGCGTCACTAGAACCGTTACATGTCCGGCCGCCGTTGCTGCTGCTGCTGCTGCCGCTGCTTTGGTCTCCTGCTCCCGCTGCTGATGGAACGCCAGCATTTTGCTGGACACGCTAAGCAATCGTTCCTCCTTCACGGAGCGTATCACACTGCTCCCTGTGTTGGTGATCCCGATCCCCATCCCCATTCCCATCCCCATTCCGATCCCGATTCCTGCTGTGCCCACCGCCGAGGAGGCGGAGGACAGCACTCCATTTGTGGGCGTGACCGTTGGACGACCCGTCGTCGTCGTGGTCGAGGGCTTCTCTTCCAGCGAATCGGGCGAGGCGCGACTGCTTCCGCTGCCGCTACCATTGCCATTGTTTTGGTGTTCATTGATTGCCACTCCTGGAGGAAGTGCTGCTCCTGCTCCACCAGCTCCTCCCCCTTCTGCGCCAGTTGATCCTGGACTGGATCTCGCCGGCTCTGCGGGCGGTGGTGACATCACAGTGGAGGCGGCAGCCGCCGAAATGGCACTGCTCGAGGAGTGGATCTCGGTGTGCTCCTGCTTGATGTGGCCACCAACCTTGTTGCTGCTACTGCTGGCGGGGCAGGTGGAGGAGGATCCGGTTCCGGATCCGGTTCCGGCTGTCGGCGAGGCGGAGGAGTTGCTGGATGACGTGGAGCAGGAGGATGACGAAGTGGAGGAGGAGGACGAGAGCGAGGAGGTCGAGGATGTGGCTGCTGCCGCCGTCGTTGAAGATGTGGAGACGCAGGGTCCCGCTCTGGAGGCTGTCACCGCTGTCCCGCCAGCTCCTCCGGTTTCAGCCACCGCTGCCACAACCGCTGCCAGAGAAACGGTGACCGCCGACGAAGATGACGACGACGATGCCGCCGTTAGCGGTAGAGGCAGCGACATGGGCAGCGGCAGGCTCATCGGCAGGGGGAGGGGCAATGGCAGTGGCAGGGTCAAGGACGCCGCCCCCGCCGAACCACTGTCGCAGAGCTTCGGCGACATGGGCGCCAAAAGATCCGGCGACGAGGTGGACGTGTCCGCTATGGACTCGCCGTCACTGCTGCATCGCGAATCGATTTTCCGCCGTTTGAGTTTGAGGTCTTGAAAAAGGCTCATTTTATCGAGCTCGCTGTACGGGCCACGGCTCAGTGTCATAATTCCTAAAAAGGGGTGATAAGAATAGAGGGGGAAAAATCCAAAGGATCAGGTTTAGTGGTTAACCAATACAGGATCATATACAATCTAGATCACAGCTATACAAATAGCTATCCCAAAATCTAGCTCTAAATGCGGTATAAATTAGATTTTGTTTAAAGCCTTTAAAAACGTTCACTTAAAACATATATATTTATAATGTAAAAGGAATATAACTTCCCATTTCCTTGAAATATTAAGATGTTTCTGATAGATATACGAGAACCTTAATCTTAATGTTAACTATTTAATTAAGGCTTCCATTTTTGGTTATGTATATATTTGTATATAAATAGCTACGTTTAGAAAGAGTATAGAACACTACACCCAGAGAAAAATCATGGTAAATCCAAATATTTTCACTTTGAATTAAATATTTTCGGTACGGGTCAATATATCGCATCGCATATAATAAAATATACAACTAATTCCTAGATCAACGGTTTATGCTTAAGAAATTCTCAGACACCGCATGCGTGGATGCTATGCATATATACATAAGTTCGCATAAATTTGTTGCGGAAGTTTCTTTTCTTTCCGATTTTTGTTTTTGCATTGATCCGCTGATGGAATATAAACAAAAACCGAGCAATTTGCATTTACTTCCCCACTAGCAGCAACAGCTGTCGAAACGCAGAAAAAAAGAAGCCAGCGAATAACTGGTTAAAGCGAGCAAAAGATTTGGTCGAAAAGAAGTCGAGATATGAGGAATTCGGTTAATTACATGAGCTTGATCGATCAGCAGTCTCAGATCTGAGCGCTATGATATATGGTTGCTTCCCCCAAAGCAGAACTCTTTCACCAAAATGGGTCAAAGCTTCTTCTTTACTATATTGTTTGCCTTTTAGTGTTTCTGTTTCTGTTGCTGCTGTTTGCAGATGTTGCTGCTGGGTATTGATGTTGCTGCTGTCGCTTGATGTTGGTCTTGTGCTATCATATCGCTTAACGATCAACAGATTACAATGCAACAAATAAGTGTTGCAAGGGGCGTTGGTATTTGGTGGTGAGTGGTTTTTGGTACACAGAGAAAAAAGACTCGCTGGAGTGATTATATTAAACTAGTAAGATTACTTGATCGAACTTTTAAATTTTCGAATCGAACTTAAAAAATATTTATGGTCATAAAATATAAAAATTGGTATCGTTTTTAGTTTCTTATCTAATCAGAGTTTTTGAAAACAAAGCATTTTTTATTTGGTAATAACTTTTATATAATATTACTTCATTTATAAAATTATGGAACAACATAATCTCTTTTCCGATCTAAATATGTCCCACTATTTTTTTCTACGCTTTATGATCATAAAATGGACAAATTTTAATTGAAGCATAAAAATGCTTTCATGCTTGCTTCTTGAGGCAAAAGAAAACTGATTTGTAGCAATTCACTCTGGAAAGTCCTGAACATTTTTTTTCTGTGCAGTTGCAATAGTTGAACTTTCGATAATGCATTCTATTCTAGCGAGGGAGATAGCTCCCTCTACCTTGCTCCCTTGCTCCCTCGATCCTTTTCGCTATCTCCGTCTCTATCTGACCGATTCGATTCGGTCACTTGGTGCGTTGGCCCAGCAACGACTTTTCCATCTCCCCCCGATCAATCCCTCTCCCACTCATACTCCCCCTTTTTTTTCTCTATCTATCCAGTGGCGATCTCTTTATGCACTCACTCACACACTCTCGCCGAGAGATAAACCATATTGCTTCGGGTGGCAAAAGTTCTCTCGGCTGACTTCGTCGACAGAGCCGACGACAATGTCGTTTGTGTGAGTATTTTTAAAATTTGACCTATTTTCATTATCAAGCGCAAGATTATTCTAAACAATAAAACCATGCGTGCCTCTCTGCGTCTATATCTTTTTTTTTCTATGCTTGTATGTGTGTGTGTGGGCGCGTGGAGTCGACTGCGACTTCTACACGCAATTGTAGATGTACATACTAGAGTTCAGATACGCGCAGGCATATGGAAAATAGATATATACTTATATAGATAAATGTATAAAGCCTGAGGTACCTGTTTCCCAGATCAACAAAGGACAGAAAACAGAGGACAGAATATACCATAGTTTCAGCCAGGTTGTCCGTCTAATCTTGACTAACTGAACCACTTGAGGGCTATGTGCGATTAAATCGTGATCGAAGGGGAGATCTAACCAGAATGGGCGAGAAATGGAGAGAAAGTTTTGGGAATGGTCATTAAATACGGTCAAGAACGATGGAAAGGTGTTCGAGTAAATAGTTGTTATCAACTGGAATGCCAGAGAGTTGCTAATAGCTAGAGACTTATTACAAAAAAAAATTAGTAATTGATTTGTATAATCAACCTTAAAAAGTAGCGGACAAATTATATCTAACACTTTTATGTGTAAAACTGAACAAGCTATTAATAAATTCTTTAAATTCATTTAAAGATTGTTAATTAAACAAACGCTTAATAAATCAATATGGAAACGTTAAATATAAGATACAAGATTGTTTTTCTTGAGTCTTACTTCACTTCTTCACAAGAAAAGCGAAATTTTTTATTGCGGAAAATCATTCTAATAAGTTCCAATTACACCTAAAATGTGATTAAATTTATAGCTAATCTGAAAGTCTGATTAGTTTTTCAAAATAAGTATTATATATTGACATTTGAAATATGCATTTATCGTCAATAGTCTACATAAGATAATAATAATAAAATGTTAAAAAGTAAAATTTTTTAATTGATTAGATAAGTTGGTATAATGGCTTAGGAATCCATTAAATATTAAAATTTGTTGTTGTGCTTTGGGAAGTGGGTAAAGCGGTTGTCAAAAAAAAACTTCGAGAGGAAAAACTAAGCCGATTCTTGACCCTCCAAGTTAACATTTTGAGTGGGTAGGTATATATGTCTAATGTTAGTGTTTTTGATTTTGGTTTTGGGATATAGTCACAAATTTACCTATGGATGTCATAATTTCGTTTTTTCTTGTCTTTGCCGATTGCTCAAATTTTGATAAAAACAAAAAATTTTCTTCTTTGCCGATTGTTGTTGATGTTTGTTTTGTTTTGCTGATGTTGTTTCTCAGTTTGCTTTTGCATTTGTTTTTGTGTGTGTTTGATAGTGGGTTTTTTGTTTTTTCATTTGTTTTTAATTTTGTTCTTGATTTTGAATTGAATTTCGTATTTGTTTGGATTTTTGGTATTATTGTGACTCGTTCGGGAAGCATCTAGCCTGTTTCTCTGCTGCAGAGCAGAGTGCCAGTAGCAAGATGCATTCCAGTGGGTAGATTTTGGGGTTTTTGGGTTGTGTGGTGCTTTTGGGGGGTGGATTTTTGGGTTGGTCTTTCAATGCGAAGTCTTGTTTTCTTGGTCAATTGTTGGATGCTCCAGTTTAGTGCACTTTTTGTTTTTTGGGAGGTTTTGATTGTTGCTGACTGAAATTTGTTGGTTGGTAAGAGTGGAGAGCATAAGTAATGGGTGTGGCAAGGGGATACCAAGGGGGGTGGTGGGTTGTGGGTGGGTGTTGTGGTGTTTTCTTACGCATTTATGATTAGGTATGATTTAGGGGTACAGTATATACAGTATATAGAGATGGATGCAATACTAACGGCAAATGGGCGGCATACGAGACTTTTTCTTATAATAGTTATTGTAATTGTTGTAATGGTTATTGTTGTTGTTGTTGGTATTGTTGCTTGAATTATTGTTATTATTATTATTATTGTTATTATTATTGTTGTTGTTGACGGTATTGTTGTTATTGTTGCAGTTGCTGTTGTTGTTGTGTGAATTGCACTTGTTGCACTTGCTGGGATTGCAAGTGACCGTTGCAGGTGTTGTTGCCACCGTTGCAGGTGTGGCTGCTGCTCCTCCTGCTGCTCCTGATTTTAGATGATTGTCATTTTCCTGTGCAGTAGTTGGCTCTTCCTTGACCTGGGTTAAATCCGTGGACGATAAAGATGCAAGATCGCCCGTGCCCGTCTCTCCGCCTTTATCGCCACCATGATGATGATGATAGTGATGGTGGTGGTGGTGAATGTGATGATGGCGATCGTTGGCAAATGGTTCTTGTTCATTGCTATTTCCGCTTTGCAAACCGGAATCGCAGGCGCTGTCGATGTCGCCGCTGACCGTGCTGTTGTTGTTGTTGCTGCTGTTGCTGTTTTTGTTGTTGTTGTTGTTGTTGGTGCGGCTGTTATTGATGTTGATGCTGCTGCTGTTGCTGCCATTGTTGCTGTGTGGCAGCTGCAGGCTGCCATTGCTGTTGCACTTCTTGAGCAGCGTTTTGTTTAGCGGCGTCTTGATAATGGTCAGCTTGTTGGTGGCGGTGTCATCCTGTCGATCCGGCTGATCCGGGTCGTCCAGCCGGCAGCCGTGATTGCCATTGACCCGCTGCTCATCGTGCCCGCCGTTCAGGAGCTGCGGCGGATAGGAGTCCGCCGATGCCGCCGCTTCCGTGGCCTCCGCTTCCTCTGCTTTCTTGACCACCTCTGCGGCAGCAGCTGGGGCAACAACACTACTGGCCTTCGGCTCGAGGATCAGCGGCTGCTGGGCATTCATTTGGGCAATATTCTAGGTGGGCAGGTACAGGCCAAACAGGACAAACGAGTGCTGGGCCATTCTGGCTGGGCAAACACCGATTTTTAAACACATTTCAAAACACTTTCAAATCACAACAACCATTTGTTTATATGAACTTCTTCTTCTAAAGCACGTGCACATTACACATGAAATCCATTGGGTTTGATTAGAAGAAGAAGTCTGCGTCCATTGCCAAACTTAAATCACTCCAAAAAAATATTTAAAACATAATGAATCGATTGATATTGATTGATTGATCCTCCTTATTGATCCTCGAAATGAGACTGAGATTAAAATGAGACTTGTGTGTGGTGTGTGTGTGTGGGTGAATTTGTGTGTGTTCGTGTGTGTTGTGAGGGTGTCAGGGGTAGTTATTTTCTTAGATCTTGGTCTTGGGTCAAAACTAAGGACACATACCACTCTTGGCTTTCGATTCTTGCCTATAATTTACATATATTTTGATGTTTTCAATACCACTTAAGCTTTGACAACATTAAAAAAAAGGGGTTTTAAGCGCGAGAGCTTAGCCGATAGGTGTCTCAACCGTTAACCGATTCGTCCGAATCGCCCGATTCCGCCGCACTTTAGCCACTTTTAGCCACTGGGCCACTGGCACTGGCCACTAAAAACCAAACTAAAGTTCGAGCCAAGTTCCGCGTCTGAGCGACGGCTGCTGCCGTGTTGTTGCTGTGTATTTTTGGTTTTTGTTTTTTGTTTTTTTTTTTGGTTTTTGTTTTGGGGAGATGTTGCTCCGCGGCCAACGTGCGTACATGCGAACGAAATAAAGTGAAATGAAAGGAGTAAGCGAGCGAAAGAAAGCAGCAGCCACGAAACGCTGCTGCTGCCGCTGCCGGCGTCGCTGTCGGCGCAGGCGTGGACTCCCTCCCCCCTCCTTCTATCGCTCCACCGCTCGCTTGCTCTCGCTCTCTCTCTGTCTGTCTGTCTATCGCGATCGGGCATTAGAAGCGTCGACGTCGGCAGCGAACGAAAATGAAAACCAATAGACAAAACGTACAAAAAAACACTGAAAGCACACTCACACACTAACACTAACCAGCGAGCAGCGACGTCATAGTTATGCTTTGGCAGCGACGTCGACGTCAGCTTTTTTTTTGTCCCCCTCTCTCTTTCTTTCTTTCTCTCTCTCTCCCACTCCCATTCCCCTTGCACCACCCACACTGCATTACGAGTACCATCCTTATTTCCACCCACCGGCTGGAGTTCATTGCAATTGCAACTGCAACTAAATTCTAGCTGCCACTAAACTTCACTCTCCCTTGCTCCCTTGCTCCCTCACTTCCCCCTCTTTCTCCTTTCTTCTCTCTGCTTTCTAGCTCCATCTCGCTTGCTCCCCTGCCTAAGCATTGCATTCAAATTAGAATTCACACAGCAGCAACACAAGTTGCATATGTTGCTGGTGTATTGGTGTATTGGTGTGGACGTTGACCGGTGAGCTTAAGGGAGGAGGGTGGGGTGTTGAAAGGGGGTGGTCTAGGGGCAGAAGCACTGTCATTGCTCGTGAAAAGCTTTTCTGGTTCCCCCGACGAAAGCTCCCAAACTTTCATGCTAACTCCCATTTTGTGAACGGGCGGCCACCCTTCATCTTTGTTTTTTTGCCTTCTGTGCCAAAACTGTGCCATTGCACTTTCAACAAAAGGGTTGGGGGATGGGCGTGCGGCAGGAGTCCAGAGGGGGGTTGCAAAGCTCTTTCGCAGTAGACACTTTCCTGCCGCGAACAGAGAGAGAGCGAGTAACAGCAGCGACATCAGCCATTGCATTTACAGTTGCAGCATAGATTTTTGCTTCCTGCTCTCTCTCCATCTCTCTCTGGCAATGGAGTTCTACGATCGGTGGCAGAATCACCGAACGGGACAGAGGGCGACAACCAACGAGGGGGTGAATATGTGTGTGGAAAGGTAAAAGTTAATTTGAATTAGAGCAACGACAACAACTGCGGCGGCGGCAGCAACTCAACAATGGACAATGACAAGCGATTGCGCAACTTCGAGAGCAAAAAGCACAGCAAAGCAAAGCACGACAGTAATGGCAAACGCAGCAGCAACACGAGAAGTAATAGCAACAGCAACAGTAGTTCGGATCAAGCGGACAGAAAACAAGAGTTAGATCAGAAAAAAACGCTCGAAAGGGACTAAGGACGAAGAGCTAACATGTTTAAAGGCAGACAAACAAATAACCGATTTATCACCTTATTACCAAAAGAGGTTAAGCGGACGAATAAATCTGCAGACAGTCAGATACGTTGATTGGACAAAAGAATAAACGGACAAGTGTATTTGCTGACATTTAGATACATTTAAAGGACAATGGACATAGGGACAGCCTGCAACAGTTACAGCAGACAGACAGCTTAACTTGAATCAGAAGCAATGTCATGTATTGCAAAATGGCCAAAAATAAAAGTGGCTTAGGTTTCGTATTATTTACTATTTGCTTTTTACGTTGTGCCTTCGAATTGCACCCACACCAGCATTTCTCTAATGCCCTTTCCATACGTTCGTTGACCATTGTCTGACGGCACTTTCGATTTCAACTGCTGCCAGCGGCAACAGAAACAGAAACAACAGCAACAACATACAATAATTGTTTGGCGCACATTTCATTTCCTTATTGCTTACTGACATTTTGCCTCGCACTAACACAACGTAAATGGCTTACGACTTTATAATGAGCAACCTAGCAGTAGCAGCAGCAGCAGCAGCAGCAGCAGCAGCAGCAGCAGCAGCAACAAATGTGTTAAGACCTGATTGCAATTGCTGCTGCAAGTTGCAATGCCAGGAAGCCTTTGGCCAACAGCTCATGCCCCCGTCTCTTTCTTTTCGCGCGCTCTGCTAAAGTGAAAGTTTATTGTTGTTGTTGTTGCTGCTGCTGCTGGGTTCTTGATTCATGGATCGCATGAAGCGAAAGCGAGACGGCATGAGGAAATGTGTGCATGTGCAACTTGCAATTTCAGAGTGACTCTCTGCGATCTCTCTCGCGAAAGAGATGGCAAACGACCACTAGAGAGAGACAGGGAAAGAGTGAGAAAAAAAAGCCGCTCTCAATGCTTTAATTTAAAAAAGATTTGATTTTTGAGCAAAAAAACAACAACAAAAGTGAACACTCACCGGACCACAAAGCCGGGCCAGGCATAGCTGGTTGTTGTTGTTTGCCTGACGTCTTGGGGGCTCCTGGTTTTATTTTGCGAATTTTTTTTTATTTCAGCCCGATTTTGAACTCTTTTTTTTTGATGGCCCACTAAGCGCGCGGTAGCAGCCACATAGTTTCCAACACACTTTCAAGTCTAGAACTCACTTCAAAAAAATTGATATATATTGTTCTGCCGTCTGGGTGATGGCTTTCTCGAGCTTTTCTTTGCGCGCGCCTTAAGAGCTACGAACCACGAATCACGAATCGAACTGAAGTCGAAGCTGCTGGGCCCAAACTGAAGCCAAAACAAAGCCCGTACCGCTGCCCGCGTCGCCGTCGCCGTTGGCAGCGCTGCACTTGCTCCCCTCTCACCTTACTCTTTTTTTTCTTTTATTTATATATTTCTTCAAGTTTTTTGGCTTTGACTTTTCTTTGATTATTGCAATTTTTGCCAGTAGTTGCGTGATTAATTGGGGATTTTTTGATATATTTTTTGGTTTGGTTTGGTTTGGTTTGCTTGTGTTTGGTTTCGTTGAGCGAATATTACTCATACGCAGTGTGTGCGCTTTGGCTGCGACTGCGATTGCTGGCTGACGGATATAACGGAAATGTGCAACTGGCAGCCACCAAAACAGCCGCGTAGCGAAATTGTCAAGCAGACTGAGACCCAGAGACCCAGAGAACTGAGAACTGAGAACCGAGAACAGCGGAGAGCTTAAAAGAGAGACACTGCTCAAGAAACCCAACTAACATACTAATCGAAAACGAAACAGAAATCGAAAACAAGAGCCCACGAGCTCTGCAAAAACAGCAGCAACATCGGCAACATATAGATTGTTATGTGGGTTTTCCTGGCTGCCTTTGAAAGCTTGCCGTCACACTCGGAAAAACTCTTCATATACGCCACATTTCAGTATATATTTCGAGTTTCCATGCCGAAGAAGCCTTGCAGCCTTAATGAAAAGATTTTAATAAATAATAAAACATTTAAAAATTTTAAATTTTTATTTTTTTTCTACTTATTAGAAAGCACCTGAGTTGTCTTAAATCAAGAAGGCTTAAAAACATCACTTTTAAAATCAAATGTATGTTTTTATTACTTTTTAGATTCAATTTTTGTTGCCTATAATAATATGGCTGTTGTTAATGCATGTCGTTTGTATGAGTTTTGCTGGTGTTTTGGCTTATGTTGCGCCTGTTATTTTGTTTTTTAAATCAAAGGTATGTTTTTACTAATCTTAAGTTTCAGTTTTCTGCCTTTTACTGATAAGGTTGTTCTAAATGCAGGTTTCATTGCTGCAATTGCTTTTAGGTTGCTGCAGTTTTTACTAGTGTTGCTGCTGGGGCAGCTTTGGCTGTTGCTGCTGCTCTTGGCCCACGAATGGCTTCTAACACTTGTGCATCAACTGCACATGGCACAGAGCTTTGCTCTCCGTCCGCTTATCCGTGTTTCTCAGTTTCTCTCTGGCTTTTCTCTCTGTGTCTCCGAAATGCTTGCATCATAGGCTCTACAGACCACCTCCCCCCCTCCGCAGCAATTTGCACTGCACAATTTTACAGTTCGCAGTTGCTTAATAAAAAAAAAAAAAAAAAAAAAAAAAAATATATATATATATCACCCCCTCCACACCCTCGGAAAAGCACCCCACCCCCTTTGCAGACGCGCCTGCATGGCATCTAGAGTCAACCAACTTTAGAAGGTCATGTGGACTTAGCGCAGCCGAATATCCTTGGCTGATATTGGAAATGCATATAGCTTATATATACACACTAAGCGCTCTGTTCGTTCAGCTCGTTCGTTTGTTTATTTGTTTGGCATTCGTGAATTGCGTGCACTTTCTATGCAGTTTATTTACAGGACAGGAATCGACTCCTCGGTCCAATTGTCCAAAAGCGGGGAGGCAGTGCACCTTGTTAGCGTTGTCATGGATACCATGACCAAGTCATGTGTAAGTGTAACTGGGAACTAGATACCAAGAACCTGGGGGAAAACATACAAGAAGAAGCTGTGGCAGGATTTCACGGGGAAGTCATAATTCATATGGCTCCAACAATAATGAGGTTTAGCTAAAGTTCCCTTTGCCAATTAGCAGGAAATTTCATGTATTAATTTAAGTGCAGTTCAGAACACAATATATTGCTAATTAAAGGTTTCAGCAGCAGCAGGCTGAATTCGTATTGCAAATGCAATAACAGGACCTTAGATTATAATTCGGTATTTTGTTGATTTCCATTTATTATTTACATTTACAGCTTTATTTTTGGGTAATAATTTTTTAGATTTAATCTTTAGTTTTAATGGCATGATAAGGTAAAGTATAAGTTATGTATTTATTAGTGTTTACAGAAGCTTAGTTAACGATTAAGTTATTATAATACACAATATTCCCCCACTTTCTTGCCAATCAAATCGGGACAGTAAGCCATATATGGGTGTTTGGTCCAAAGCGGTATCTACAAGTGCGCGCCTATATAGAGCGAGTATTATACTCTAATTGCCAGTCATGAGGTTCAACAACTTTCACACAAAAATCCTTGAACGCCATTTGCATAAAAACCCCAACGGCAAGCTGAGCAATAACAACAAAAACTACAAAAACAACAACAAATATTAATAACAATAATAGCAAAAACAACAAAACGGAGGCGCG